CCCAGCCATGGCGGGGCACTTGGAATGACCCAGGGAGGGTCGAAGCATCGGCAAACCCTGCTGAGAGAGCTGAACCAGCGGCGGCAGCCCCCACAGAAACGGACCCGACAGGTGCCCGAATCGGTGGGCAGCAAAGGGAGGCTTGCGGGGGCGGCATGTATCCAGGAGGTAGAGCGAGGCGTGGCAGGTCCAGCGTCCCCAGCTTTAGGCGGGGCGTGACTGACGGGGAGAAGGCGGAGCGGGGGAAGGGATAAAAAAGGAAGGGAGGAGGCAGTCGAGGAGGAGGCGGACTACCGGGATGGCGAAGGCGTGTGCCAGAGAGTAAGAGCCTGTATGCCTAAGGGGAGAAACTGGATTCAGCGGGGGAAGGGCAGGTGAAGTAACCTCCCTACACAACCCCGCAGTCTGAGGCCTTCCCTCCCCTTCCTCCCAAATCCTTCCCCTCAATCCTCCGCAACCGTCTCTGACAAGGGCCCCTAGGCCAGGGCTCAACAGAGGTGCAGGCCGGGTACAGCTGCGGTAACAGGAGGCCAGTTGGTGGCAGACCACCAGAGCCCCGACAAAAAGAGATGGGTGATTGCTATGCCAGATGACAGTTTAGAATCCTCTGAACAAATGATCCCTTAACCTATTTTAAAATGGTTCTGGATGGTCCGATCTGAAAAATTCCTCCCCAAGAAAGCCCAGAATCCACCTCCAGGACAGCTGGATTCCCAGCAGTAACAGACACCAAAATGATGACCACAGCTGAGGAGAAAAGCACACTTTTGAAGAGAAGAGATTGGATTTATAACCCGCCCTTCACTCGGAGTAAGAGCAGCTTACAAACTCCTTTCCCTTCCCCTCCCCACAACAGACACCCTGTGAGGTAGGTGGGGCTGGGAGAGCGCTTTCCAGAACTGTCCTTGAGAGAACAGCTCTCTGACAGACCTATGGCTTGCCCAAGGTTATCCAGCAGCTGCAAGTGAAGGAGTGGGGAATCAAACCCGGTTCTCCCAGATTAGAGTTCACACACTTAAGCACTACATCAAACTCGCTCTGTTACTGAGAGCTGCCCTGATTGCCACAAGAAGAAGGAGATACAGAGGGAAAAGGCTCTAGAAGTCACCATAGTGCAGAAGAATCAGGCACAAACTTCTACTCAACATTCCCCTTTTAGAGAACAGGAGTCAGAGCTGCACCTGACACTGCTTCCCAAGAGAATGAAGGCAACACTCCTTGCTAAAAGCCTACATTTTGGGCTTCTACAGTGGGTTGCAGGGAGGATTGCATTCCTACCACTGCTGAAAGGGGAAACCTTCGTCCATACTGGGCTCTGATATCAATTCACTGGCATATTGCCCCTTCCTGATGCTCTCCAGCAAGGGTGCCACCTCACCTTCCCCCTTCAGCAGTGTACAGTGATGGGATCTGGAATCCACCACTCAAACCACTATTGATTAAAACTGCTCCAAACTTCTTTTATTCTTGATGGATTAGTTGTATTCAGGAACAGAAATGATTACTAAAGGACAATAGGGAAATGGCAGAGAAGCTGAACGACATTTTTTGCCTCTGTTTTTACTGTGGAAAATGGGAGGTGCTTGCTGATCTGAGTTGGACTGAGGTGACATGAGAGGAGGTTCTATGACTGATGGACAAATTAAAAACTCGCAAATCACCAGGCCCAGATGGCATACAGCCAAGAGCTTTGAAAGAGCTCAAATGTGAACTTGTAGATCTCCTGACAAAAATATGCAATCTATCAGTAAAATCTGCCTACATTCCCAAGGACTGGAAGGTAGCTAATGTAACACCCTTCTTTAAAGAAGATTTCAGAGGAGATCTGAGAAACTACAAGCCAGTCAGTCTAATGTCAATACTGAGTAAGTTGGTGGAATCTGTTATTAAAGACAGAATTAATAGGTATATTGATGAACAAAAGCTATTGAGGAGAAATCAGTGTGGGTTCTGTAAGGGAAGATCTTGTCTCACTAATCTTTGAGAGGGTGAACAAACATGTGGACAAGGGTGACCCAGTAGATGTTGTTTACCTAGACTTCCAGAAAGCTTTTGATAAAGTTCCTCATCAAAGGCTCCTAAGTAAACTCAGCAGAAATGGGATAAGAGGACAAGTGTACTTGTGGATTAAAAACTGGTTAATTAATAGGAAACAGAGGGTGAGTATAAATGGGCAGTTTTCACAGTGGAAGGTGGTAAGGAGTGGGGTACCTCAGGGCTCAGTACTAGGTCCAGTGGTTTTTAACTTGTTCATTAATGATTTGAAGTTGGGAGTAAGCAGTTAAGGGGCTAAGTCTCTGGATAACTCTAAGTTGTTCAGGGTGGTAAGAACCAGGGAGGAGGAGAGCCCGTTTAATGTGGTGGTTAAGAGCAGTGGACTCTAATCTGGAGAACTAGGTGCATTTCCCCACTGTTCCACATTTAGCCAGCTGGGTGAACTTGGCCCAGTCACAGTTCTTTCAGAACTCTCTCAGTTCCTATAAACAAGTCTAGCCATCACCACTAGCATAACCCTAAGAGCTAGAACTTGCAGCTGCCAGACAATCTTTAGTTCTCCTGGCTATTCTATACACAATGCCATACAATAAACTAATTAATTGATTAATTAAGAACCAGGGAGAACTATGAGGCGCTCCAGAGGGATCTATTGAGGCTAGGTGAGTGGGCATCAACATAGCAAATGAGGGTTCAACATGGGCAAGTGCAAAGTAATGCACATTGGAGCCCAAAATCCTAACTATATGTTAATAGGGCCCGAACTGGCAGTAACTGACTGGGAAAGAGATCTTGGGAGTTGTGGTAGAGAACTCACTGAAGATGTCGACTCAGTGCGTGACTGCAATTAAAAAAGGCAAATGCTATGGTGGGGATTATTAGGAAGGGGACTGAAAACAAATCAGCCAGTATCATAATGCCCCTGTATAAATCTATGGTGTGGCCTCATTTGGAATACTGTGTACAGTTCTGGTCACTGCACCTCAAAAAATATATCACAGCATCAGAAAAGGTGCAGAAAAGGGCAATTAAAATTATTATGGGCACGGAACACCTTCCTTATGAAAAGAGGTTAAAGAGGTTAGGGCTCTTTAGCTGGTAGAAATGACAATTGAGAGGTTATATGATAGAGGTTTACAAAAGTAAACATATGATAGAGAAGGGAGAGAAAGAAGTACTTTTCTCCCTTTCTCACAATACAAGAACTTGTAGGCACCCAATGAAATTAATGAGCAGTAGGCTTAGAAGTGATAAAAGGAAGTACTTCCTCACCCAAAGAGTAATTAACACATGGAATTCACTGCCACAGGAAGTGGTGGCAGCTACAAGCACAGACAGGTTCAAGAAGAGATTGGATAAACATATGGAGCAGAGGTCCATCAGTGGCTATGGTATACACTATGTCAGGGGCAGTAACGCTCTGTATTATTGGTGCTTGGGGGCAACAGCGGGAGGGCTTCTGGAGTTCTGGCCCTGCTGGTGGACCTTCTGATGGCACCTGGGTTTTGACCACTGTATAACACAGAATGTTGGACTAGATAGGCCACTGGCCTGATCCAACATGGCTTCTCTTATGTTCTTATGTTTTGATGAACAAAACGATATAACAGAGAAGTTTATTTTGGAGCTCTTCAGAATGCACTTGGGTCCTCACCATTCTGAACAATTTGGTGTTATGTGCACAGCTAACCAGTTTGCTGCTCACCCTTGGTTCCAGATGATTTATGAATAAATTAGAGTACTAATCCCAGTAATGATCCCAGCAGAACATCACTGCTTGCTTTACACCAATGCAAGAATGATCTATTTACTCCTCTCTGCTTCTGGTTGTTTAAACAGTTTTTAATCCATAATAGCATCTTATCCCATGACTGTCTACTCAGCAGCCTTTGGCAAGGAACCTGGTGAATAGCTTTCTGGAAATCTAAACATATCACATCTGTTACCCCTCTAGAAAAATTTCAAAAGACTGGTTAGAAAGGAGTTTCCTTTTAAAAAGCCACACTGATTCTTCCTCTATATGTTGTGTTTTTTTAATGTACTTAATAATCCTACGCTTAGCAACAGTTTCCACCAATTTACCTGTAAAAGATGTTAGGTTCACTGGCCTGTAATTTCTTAGATCACTTGTTAAAAATGTGGCATTACATTTGCTACCTCATGGAAGCATCACTAATTTGTGCCAGCTAAGAATATGTTCTATAATATTTTGTTCTAAGACTTCAGGAACAAATCAACTGTATGATAACTAGTATTTATTTTTCTTCTACTCTGTTCTATATTATTTTAAAACATTCTGTTGAAAAAGAATTGTGTATGCAGAAAATCATATTAATTCATTTCAAGATTATATTATCGCTACATTTAACAAAATTAAAGCTGAAAACCATGTAACCCAGGGGTGTCAAACATGCGGCCCGGGGGCCGGATTAACACACACACACACACACACACACACACCCCCGCGGGCTTCTAACAGGCCCGCAGGGGAACTGGCTGTCTTCTGCTTCTTCTTCCAGTTCTGCTGCTGCTGCTGCATCATCGTAGGTTTGCAGCTTACAGATACACACCCGGACAGCATACTCAAGATTGCAACAGCACAGACATTTTGAAGCAATAATTCAGAGCAAGACGTGTCAGTTAGCAGACACTGTTAAATAAACAAAATATTGCAAGAGTGCTAATGTTTTAAGCATGTTTTTATTTTAATTTTTAAAAAACCTTCTGTTTGCGTCCTTGATAAAGTTTATATCTCCACTACCTGGCATTACATTTTATGACACACATGGCCCGGTCCAACAAGGTCTCATTTATGTCAGATCCGGCCCTCATAACAAATGACTTTTTCCACTACTGAATGGAAAGTAGAACGTAAACAATATTTTTACTCTATGCATTACTAAAAATGCAAACACTTCTAGTTTTCTTTCTTTCTTTGTGAGTGTGAAAGCAAATAAATGAGAAAAAGAAAAGAGAAGAAATGAGAGAATTTCAACAAACCATACCTAGTAATAAGGACCGCATTATCATGGTGGGCAATTCCATTTTCTGGAATGGTGTTTCCATCACTTTGGTGAGAGAGAATGGATTTCTGCCACTTACAGAAGCTATCAAGGGACTTGTCTGCATGGTGATTTATCTCCAAGTTTGGCTGCAATACAACATGCATACCAGAAATGTTCCAAACAAATTACTAGGGTAAGCGGTTAAGACTTCTGAAGTCTAAAACTGATCTATAATTAGAGGCAGTGATTTCTAGGAATAATTTCTTCTTGCCAAACTTTATCTCTGTTCAATCTGAACTACAGTTTATTTTGTGCAAGCATTTTATCAATTTCACATAAATACTTGAATATGATTTTGTCAAAAGTAAAAATTACAGAATAGTTTCAAGCATTAGCTTTTCCTCTACACACAGAGATATGTGGAGGGAAAGCACAGCAGCCCTTAAAGTTTCAAAATACAGAAACAGGAACAATAACAACTTTCTAGTCTCCCAAATATGAAATTTTCACTAAATACAAGTGAAATGTTAACCATTTTAAATGAACATCTTTCTAAGTGCCTGTAACTTTAGATCACAGATTTCTGCAGATTAACTTCATTATTTTATACTATATTTCTAAACAATAATGTGGTGCATTTTGTAATAACTGGATGGCATAGTTTAGGCATCTAGGGCATATGACAACTCATTCTTACCTGATCTTCTGTGAGGACAATTAAACGAGTCACTATAATATTCACAACGTTTCCTAGGCTGGAATCGCGATAAAGTTTGGCAACCTGACCTCCAGAAAATAAGAAAAGACACAAAGTCAGACAAAAACATATGCAATTTTTGTATGTTTGAAAATAATTTAATTAGGCAATGAGTTATCATTCAGTACAGAATATTAGTTATACTACATAAAGTCCTTTCAAGTTTGAAAGGCAGGTTGTGAAAGGAAGGAGAGTTTTCTCCAGCCTCAGTCATCACCAGCCTAAACATCCCTTAAGAAACTTGATACCACCCCACAACATTGTTCTGAAAGGTTGTTAGTAAGTGCTTGTAATTATGATGGAGTATGGGAAAAATACGTACTATCCCATAAGTCACCTAATGGAGCAAGTCATGCCATTCGCTGCTAAGCATTTTGGGTAGGTTTTTTTTTTTTTACCATAATGTTGTCCCAAGTGCAATACTTTACTTTTTCCATAAGAATTAATGAAAGCCATTTACTGATACAAAGACTAAACATGTTCTGTGCCCCTGGTGTCACCAGGCATTAACAACCAAGCCATCTTCTTCTGCAGTTCACTACTCTGGGTCCCATTTCTTGGGTCTAATTTTTACTGCAGCGGTAATCTTGTGTCTGGCCTGTATCATCTGAAATTTCAGGGAAGGCTCACATGTTTCATTGTCGTTCTATACAATTAAAAATCCCTGCAAATATAAAACTAGCACATCAACACACAGTTCTTCTAGACATCCAGTTGTCTATGTGCAGGGACTTTCTGCATAGAGGAACATTCAAGTACATGAACTTCCACCTGCAGTCTCAAGTGAGAACCAGGCCTCAGGCACAAAAAAAAGTTATTGGGAAAGTGAGACGGTATGCTGGGAAAGTGTGGGATGGTATGTCAGTATGTAAAGAAACTCTGCAGACTACACAGCTGACAGGGACTAATTATCAAGAACACACCTTTCCAGTCTACATTGGTTGCCTACTAACTTCTAGACTGCTGGTTATTTCCTATGAAACTATAAATGGCCTGGCACAGAGACAATATAAAGGACTAATTGACCATATGAACCTGCCCAGTAACAAGGATGGAACACTATTGTGTGCTCCCATCATCTGAAGTAAAGTAGACACAACCTCCTCTCTAATGGCATCTTGATTACTGAACGTCATCTTCACTGCTAACAATAATTCCAGGATTTTGGTTTTTTTCCTTTCCTTCTCCCCCTGCCCCACCTGATTTAGTACAGTTGTGAAGGTCTGGAGAGAAAAATGGGAGAAAACACCCTTTTCCAGGTTTTCTTCTGAGGAAATTTTTTCAATTTCTCCAAGGAAAAAAATGGAAAACTTTGGGGAGCACTGAAAAAACCTATGCATTTTTTCCCCTTTGGAACAAGTAAAAAGCTTTTTCAGACAAAGTTCTGCAGAGTCAACATATATAGCATGATATAGTCTGAAAATTTGGGGAATCTAGGGAGCACTGAAACTCCTACAAAGCATATTTCTTTTTCTTTAGGAATAAATGAAATGTGCTAAAATAGCATGGCATGCAGCAGTTTGCAAGCTTTCTCGCTTTGTTCCTGGGTGGATTTACAATTTTACTTGCAGAAAACTAAATTTGTAAAAATGTAATATGTCAGTTAATACAATTTTATATGCTAACCAAGTTATGAATTATGCAAAGCAGGTTTGATACGAAATCTGTATTGCAACTTTTCCCAAAATTGCTGTTTTTCCTGGGAGGCGGAAATCATATCCCTCTCCCACACACATGCACATGGCTTCAAAATTTCTGGAAATTTTAGACCTCTGTGCTTTGGTAGTCATTTTTTAATGTCGAGCTATTATATTGTAATTTAACTGCTAATCTCATAAAGTTTTTACTGGCTTGGATAACTGTTTAAGCTTAAGGTACTATCAGTATCTTCCTTAGATACTAAGCAATGGATTTTACAAAACATGAACACAATCCAGTCTTCCCTGCCTTCCTTGTCTTTTAGCAGCTCCAAGCTCCTGAAAAGGTGATGCCAAGGGTCAGGGGGCCGTCATATACAAAATGTCACCAAGGACACAGGATGAGAATTAGGTAAAATCATCCCCCACTCCCTTTTCCACCTGTGGCCCCCAGGGAGAAGGCAGATAAAATCAGCCACTTGCAGTTCATAGTATCCAATACTTATGACCTGAGATGTGGGATATAATACTAAATTCCTGGTATAACCACCCAAATTAAAATGAGAAATAAAATCCTATCCTTCACCGCAGCTGCTGTGGGACAAGCAGCAAATTGCATATATACTGGCAAACAAATATGCTCCTTTTGGTCTAAAATTACCTAACAATTCCCTTTGCTAAGCCATTTCACCACTGCACCTGTGGTAGATTCAAGGGGCATCTTAAATAGCCCTTTATGAATTAGAAGGAGTAGAAACTCCTCAAAAAGTTCTTTGTGTTGGGCATCTGCATAGCTTAGGGCTCTTCCTCACCCACTGTATGGCAGTGCTACCACTCACTGCTATCCAAGCATAGAATGTGTGTGGCTAGTTTCCAGTACTGATAAAAGGAATATTCCCTTGTGATAGCATGGGGAATTATATGCAGCATTATAACAAAGAGAAGGTTTGGGCAAAAGTAATACAAAAACTGCATTTTCAAACCTTGCAGTCCACAGTTAACAGTGCAAAAACTGAATAAACACTGGTCTAACCAGAACTGAATTACTTTTTGCTGTCCACTAGAAAAGCAATTCTTCTTCACACTGAAAGGTCGTTGAAAGGTGTTAAGCCGCTATGTGGAACCTAAGAAAGTATGACTATAACATATGGTTCTAATTCTTGTATTTGCTTCTAAGCTGTTGCCCCTTATTTTCTCTGCTGAAGTAACAGCATTTATCTCAAACGCTGTATATACTAGTTTTCCTTCCAAACTTTATTTCTGAGACTAGAAGAGGCAACCAGTGTTCCCTCTAAGTTGAATTAGTGTGAGCCAGCTCACAGTTTTTTAGCCTCCAGCTCATACATTTTTGTCTTAGCTCAGGAAGGATGGCTCCAGAGCAAACTAATTTATGCAGTAGCCAAATCGCTCACTCACAACTTTAATGCCAGTAGCTCATAAAGTAGAAATTTTGCTCACAATACTCCACAGCTTAGAGGGAGCATTGGAGGTAACCCCCCTCCCTTTCTTGTCAGAGTAGGCTCCCATACTGTTCTGCATATCTACAATCCTTTCTCAATAAAATTACTTGCAAGTAACACAGGAATTACCTGTAAATGCCTCAGCCTACAGTCTTAAAGAACATGCCAAACTGTTTACACATGAGCACATTTGGTTCAGGAGAGACTCCAGCCTATAACTTGATAAAGCAGGCTAGATTTAAAACACATCTCAGGTCATTAGTTCTTTGCTAACTGCAGCATTCCTCAGATACACTTACAGTCAATTTCATTCTTAAAAGAGTAGCCTTTCTACTTACATGGGAGCAGTGTTCCCTCTAAGATGAGTTAGTGTGAGCTAGCTCACAGTTTTTTAGCCTCCAGCTCACACATTGTTGTCTTCGCTCAGGAAGGAGGGCTCCAGAGCAAACTAATGTATGCAGTAGCCAAATTGCTCGCTCACAGCTTTAATGCCAGTAGCTCACAAAGTAGAATTTTTGCTCACAAGACTCCACAGCTTAGAGAGAACATTACATGGGAGATTTATTAAACTAGGGTCCCGGTTACACGGATAATTTGCCGCGTGAGAGGCACGACTGCTGGGCAGATTAAAATGGTTCGATCATACGGCAGCATCTGGCAAGCCTCGTGTGCCCGTCTCCAACCCGTAGCGTCCGGCTGAAGATGCGGAGTAAAAAAGTAGCAGGAAAAGTGTAGTATTATCTGGAAAACGTGGGGCGAGGGCGGGCATCTGATTGTGGAAGCGCTGGTATCCTGTCGCATCCGGCGCCCATCCGTGTCTCACCGGATGTTTTTTTGTAAGCCTCCGTGGTATGTGCACAAACGCAGTACTGCTTCGTTGCCACGCTTTGCCATCACCGTGTGATCGGTGGCTGACGGCCTGAGCACAGAGCCTCGGGGGAACGTTAGATCGTGATACCGCACTTCATTTTGCTCCGGAGCAAGAAGCCTCACTCCCCCCCCCCCGATTATCTCACTTGTGTGACCGGGGCCTAGAAGCCGTTTCCTACTTCAAACAGTCAGCTGGCATGCCTGCCCCTGAGTGAATTTACTTGTGAACTGAGTAAACAGCCCTATCAGCCATTTCAAGTAGAAAGCTAGCTGGGAGCAAGGTTTTAGTATGATGTCCATTCAGAACTTACCAGAAACATTGGCAAGGCACCACTAATGAGGAATTTGCTGCTCAGTAACAAACACAGTGGAAATTGTTACCAGGGACAATACCTGGAACATGGTATAAACCGTACTAACCATACTTGGAAAATATCTTGGATTAAAAATAGCTGCATATAAATGTCTAAGTTTTAAATCTAACATCTTTAATGCCTACAATGTTAAAATGAGCTATATTAACATGTAGATGGATCAAACTTACAATATTCATGACACTCAAAATGTAATGTTCGATATCTTTGCGACCATGGTATCCCACCATCATTTTGTCAGCTACTACCAGCGTCTCCACAAAACGTTCAGTGCTTACTGATCTCTTCTGCCGCTGAGGACTACTTAATGAGTGATTAATTGGACGTGAAGTTGGAATACCAAAGGTATTGTTCATCCACAAAAGTTTATTGCTTCCTGTGAGGTCTTCTAGGAATCAAATAATTAGTGACATCAAATGGGTTGCTATGTTAACATCTTCAAGTACATCTGTTCTATGTTTATATTATCTTCCAGATTCTTAAAATGAATGAGTATTTGTTGTACTACAAGGAGAAATTAAACCCCATCTTCTCATAAACAATATATGCCTTAGGTTTTCATCAGAAAATACTCAACAACTTTATTCGACATTAAAAGACTAGCAGTGCAATAGCTAAGCAGAGTTACACCCTTCAGTGGCCTTAGAAGGGTGAATTCAGTGGACCTAGAAGGATATTAAGTCTGCTTAGCATCATACTGGGTGCGTTCAGACGGGGGCTTTCTGCCGGCATAAACTGCAGTGGTTGGAACCGGTGCAGTTTATGCCGGCAGAAACGCGATCACACTTACCTCCATTTTGCGTTTCTCATCAGTGTATGCCCGGTCACACGCTGCGGGCATCTGTGTGTTTTTTGGTTTTTTAAAACACAGTTTGAGCATGCGCATAGGCAGCCATTCACAGAATGGCGATCTTTGAGCATGCTCAAACCCCTCCCATTACATTTAAACTTTAAAGGTAAGGACTTAGCTTTAAAGTTTAAAGCCCAAACTGGCCTCCCTTAAGTCCCGGACTCCTCCGGATAGGTAAAGTAAGGGATTTTTAATTATTTTTTTAACAAACGCTCAGGGCGAAGCTTCGCCCAAGCGCATATCACTCTGTTTAAAAAAAAATGGCGGGGGAAAACCGGAAGCCTCAGGCTTCTGACGGAAATGGCTAGGCACCGGTGGAGAGCGATCAGACACCGGCGTACATCGGAAGCAACCGTTGCACTCAGTATACCACCACTTGCAGCAAGAATAAGTATAAATTGAGAGAAATAGTATATTTACAATAACATTTTTATATTGGTTTGAGTATAAGGCATTGCCCTCACTTTGAGCACATCTATTTGTCTGAAGAAGTGTGCTTTGCACACAAAAAAGAAGAGGAAATTGGATTTATACCCTGCCCTTCACTACCAAAAGGAATCTCCTTTCTCTTCCCCTCCCCACAACAGACACCCTGTGAGGTACGTGGGGCTCAGAGAGCTCTGAAAGAACTGCTCTTGAGAGAACAGCTCTGTTAGAACTTGTGACTGACCCAAGGTCACACCAGCAGCTGCATGTGGAGGAGTGGGGAATCAAACCCGGTTCTCCAGATTAGAGTCTGCACTTCTAACCACTACACCAAACTGGCTCCAAACTGGCATCAAATGAAAGCTTACAATTTGAATAAAACTTTGTTGGTCTTAAAGGTGCCACTGGACTAACTTTGTTCTTTGAGCACATCAGTATCTTTGCCATGCTTATGCTCAGAAATAAAGTTAATTAAAATAACCAGAGTTTTCACACCAATTATAAAATATTTGCTTTTTAAATATTAAAAAATTACAACTTACATTTTTGCACAGTAAAGCAAAAATACAAATCATTTGAATCCTATATGACAAATATTGTACTAATGAGGAATTTCTTATTCAGTTACAGATATGTTTGAGCTCCTGTTACTTAATGAAAATGCATGTCAGAAAAGGGGTTAGCTGAATGGGACAGTGTTAGCAGAAGTGTTAGGCCTAGTGTTAGCAGAATGGGACAGCTTATTACTTTGTTCTGTTTTTGTGAGCCAGCCTCATTTCCTACACTGTGGCAACAGTACAATAGCACTATTTCAGTAGGAAATTAATAATACCTTAAAGAGTAGTCCCATATCCTAACATCAGCTGATATTTTATTTATTTACTTTTAAAACTTGCACCCCAAAAACTGTCAACCAAATAGAGTTTCAGAGGTAGTGTCCACAAAATGTAATTAAAACAATGAATCATTATCATCGATACTAAATAACTTACATCAACAATAATCAATACATTTACATCAACAATAATCAATAAATTAGGAGACATGTGGACAGCTCGATACACTTGTTTAAGTTTCCACAGAAGCCGCTAGGAAGAAATGGCGTACATAAAACTCAAGACAACCTCTCAGTCTTTGCCTTTAAAAAGATTTAATTTTGCACCCAAACCCAGCAATTAAAAATTATATCAGCAAACTTACTCTAACAGAATCCACGATATTTCTTCTACTGAAAATACAAATTGTCTCAGTATCATATTATTTTAAAGGAAAAAAGATATTATTAGAATTCCGACTTATTTACCTGAAACACCACAATAGGTATGATCATAGAAGAGTCGGTGATACATGGCAGACTTTTTATAAATAACATGAGGATGTCCACTTTCATAACTAAAATGATTGGAATTTTCAGTTATGTTTTTTAGTGGCTCAATAAAATACTCTTCATCTTCTGTAGCAATAACACCATGCTTAAAAGAAAGAAAAAGACAAAAGTTACCCAGAGTCTAAATACAGAAATGTCTTTTCATACAAAATATTTAACTTGCAGGAACGTTAAATTGCTATTCTGATATAAAATTTGTTCTTACTGATTGCAGTAAGGTCAAGATGTGTTCAGACATAAACTACAGTATCCTCATGACAAGAAGAAGCCAGAAATTCTTTGGCCTAACACAAGCTCTTCTCTTAAGAACATAAGAGAAGCCAGGTTGTATCAGGCCAATGGCTCATCTAGTCCAACAGTCTGTGTCACACAGTGGCCAAAACCCAGGCGCTATCACTCAGGCTTTGGAGCTCCATCTGAATCTTATCAAAATTCAGTGTAATATCTAAATTAGGTGCTTAAAAATAAATTGTGACTTGTTTGCATCTTACAAATCAGGATCCCAACTTGAACTAAACCATAGTATAGTGGTAAGAAATAAACCACAGTTTGTCAAAGTGCCCGATTTGACCAGACTGCAGTTAGACTACAAGTGTCCTAAAGGAGAAAGTCTTCATTCTCGGTATGCAAGGAAACAAAGGTAGAGGGAAGGCGCACACAAGCCAAATGATATGATGGATCATTCTTTTCATGAAAAAAACTACTGTGGTTTATTCACAATATCTGAATGCAGCCCAAGTCTTTTTCCAAACACAGTATTAAAATGAACATAAAAACATTCTCATGAATGAACTGTGCTTTCTAGATTGTTATCCTGAATGCTATCATTAATATTCAGAATGGGGTCTTTTACACCTCTGCCAAGTAAAAATGTCCTGATATGGAAACAACTCATCTCTCTCTCCTTAGGGAAAATGAGTAAGCATTAATAATCCTATTTTCATATACACCATTAATGTCCAAGGCCACCTTGAGTATGTGTTCTACTAACTTTGTAAAGTTATAAGGAAAAAGAACTCAATGTGAACAAACTATAATCACATTTTTTTGAAACCCCATGTTTAAAAATCATAATATTCAGATCTGTAAAATGTCAAACCAAAACAATTTCAACTAAACACTTTAAATAATGAACACAGTGATGTTGTGGTGGCACATTAAAACTATTTTTTCAGTGTCAAACATTGTTCCATACATGATTTAATATAATATATAAATGAGACATTGTTATTAAAAGATTTATTCAAAGGAATTATTATTAAATAGATTCACTCTGTTTTATCCAGATGGCAAAACCCAACACTATACCACCTTTGTGAAAGTTGAGACCAATAAAAAGCATTCATGCTATTTATACTGCTCACATTTTAACTACCAGGAGCCATATCTAAACAGATCAGCAGATCATCAAAACAAGGAAGTACTTCCTCTAATTTTCCACACTAAATTGTCCATTAATCTAAACTTCTTGTAAGAAAAGAGACTTGCTATTTTGCAGTAATTTCTGACCTGTAACTTCCGCTATTTGAGTAGACATTCTGTACAATCACACATTTTAGAAAGTTCTGGGGAATTAAGAACACTGTTCCCTTCCCCACAATGTATGTGGTGAGTTGGGGAAGACAATGCCATCCTTCTCAGTTCCATCCAGTGGTAGTTGCAGAAATACTCCACATGAAGATCATAACTAAGCAGGTTCTTACTATCAAAAGTTCAAGCTGAGTGTCTGCAGGGTTTAATTTTTAAATCTCATATATACATATAATTCTCCTAACGCATTGGCCATTTCCAGTTCTCCCACTGACTATGCTGTGTGCTCCATCAGTCATTGAACCATCAACCGCCACTCAAGAGTAATTGCGTTCCATTGGCTGGAGGCTGGGTCCGCTCCTCATCCCCGTGTACTCATTTTCCCTCAGCCACTGTTCCCTGTCAGAATAACTGCCAAAATGGCTGTCTCTCCTGATGAAGACACTTCCCTGCTTAGCTCTTGTGGGACTAACTTTTCCCTCAGTGGCTGTTGCTAGGCAACCAAGCTTCGTTCTGTAGGTAAAAAGGCAAAGCCAGGAGGCCCTTTCCAGGACTTTGTGGGGAACTATTGGGGCCAGTCCTGACTAGAGTTGCCAGCTCCAGGTTGGGAAATTCCTGGAGATTTTGTGCTGGAGTCTACGGAAGCCAAGGTCTGGGGAGCGGAGAGGCCTCAGCTGAATAGAGTGCCACAGATTCCACCCTCCAAAGTAGTTATTTTCTCCAGGGGGAGAGAGAGTCTGGAGTTCAGTTGTGATACCAGGCGATACCACAGCCAGTGTGGTGTAGCAGTTAACACTTCAGAGGAGGGTCTGCCAGACCCAGGTTCTTACTGTGGAAGCTGAGTGGGTGATAAGGAGGAGGAGATTGGATTTATACCCCACCCTTCACTCAGAGTCTCAGAGCGGCTTACAAATTTCCTTCCCTTCCCCTTCCCACAACAGACTCCCTGTGAGGTAGGTGGGGCTGAGAGAGCTCTTTCCAGAACTGCCCTTTCAAGGACAGCTCTGACAGAACTATGGGTGGCCCGAGGTAATCCAGCCGCTGCAAGTGGAGGAGTGGGGAATCAAACCCAGTTCTCCCAGATTAGAGTCCACGCACTTAACCACTATACCAAACACCAAGAGCATAAGAACATAAGAGAAGCCAATGTTGGATCAGGCCAATGGCCCATCCAGTCCAACACTCTGTCACACAGTGGCCAAAAATACCAGGTGCCATCAGGAGGTCCAGCAGTGGGGCCAGAAAACTAGAAGCTCTCCCACTGTTGCCCCCGCCAAGCACCAAAAATACACAGCATCACTTGCCCCAGAGCCCTTATCTATACCTTGTGGCTAATAGCCACTGATGGATCTCTGCTCCATATATTTATCTAATTCCCTCTTGAAGTCGTCCATGCTTGTAGCCGCCACCACCTTCTGTGGCAGTGAATTCCATGTGTTAATCACTCTTTGGGTGAAGAAGTACTTCCTTTTATCTGTTCCCTACTGCTCAGAAATGTCATTGAGTACCCATGAGTTCTTATATTGTGAGAAAAGGAGAAAAGTACTTCCTTCTCTACCTGCTCTATCCCATGCATATTTTTATAAACCTCGATCATGTCACCCCTCAGCTGTCATTTCTCCAAGCTAAAGAGCCCCAAATGCGTTAACCTTTCTTCATAGGGAAAGTGTTCCAACCCTTTTATCATTCTAGTTGCCCTTTTCTGCACTTTTTCCAATGATATAATACCCTTTTTGACGTGCGGTGACCAGAACTGTACACAGTATTCCAAATGAGGTCGCACCACTGATTTATACAGGGGTATCATGATATTGGTTGATTTGTTTTCAATTCCCTTCCTAATCATCCCCAGCATAGCATTGGCCTTTTTATTGCAGTTGCACACTGTCTCGACATTTTCAGTGAGTTATCTAGAATCATAGAATCATACTATGACTCCAAAATCTCTCTCTTGGTCAGTCTCTGCCAGTTCAGACCCCATCAATTGTCAGGTTCTAAAGTCAGATCACACCACACAGTGCTTCATAAGAAGTATTCTGTTTATTGGTAGTTCATAACTATGACTCTAACATTTTTTGCCAGAAATGGCCCAAAGCAAGAGGGCACCCAAAGTAATAGTAGTTTCAAAGCACCCCTCATTACAAGGATAAGCCAATAAGCATTGTGCATGGTCCCCCGCGTGCAGGAGAAAAGTGAGCCGTTCGTTCCCAGCCAGTTAGGAGCAGCTGGGAGCCCAAGGTCGGAAAAGCATACACAGATAACAACAACCCAGACAGGAGACATCGTTAGTGTACCAGGAAGGAGGATCACTCCCCACACATTCCAAAGACATGGCAGTGTTAACTGACATCATGCCCCCCTAAAACCCTTCCCCCCGGTTTTTGCGGGAATCGAAATTTTTTTATTTTTGTCGGGGTGGCTAAAATGGGTTCAGACATGAACAGAGCATTCAAATGATCGAACGCCTCCTGGCATTCGACCGACCACGTCAGCTTGACACCCAGCCGAGTACTCTTGGGCCCCTTTCCTTTCGTTTTTAACGAATCCGTGAGCAGTAAGATCACCTGAGCAAAATTGGCAAGAAAAATTCTGTAAAAATTGGTGAATCCAAGGAACGCTTGGAGCTGCCTCCGAATGCTAGGTGGCTCCCACACCAGTACATCCCGCACCTTGGCTGGGTCCATCTCCAACCTCCTAGAGGAGATATGATAGCCAAGGAAATCGATCTCGGTACAATGGAACTCGCACTTTGAGAGTTTGGCAAACAGTTTATGCTTGTGCAACGTATGCAGTACTTCACGCATCAATTTCACGTGGGATGATTTGTCGGGGGAGTACAGTAAGATATCATCTAGATAAACAATAACTCCTTTGAACAGGTGCTTGTGCAACATTTCATTGATTCATGAAGACCTCGGGAGCCCCTGGCAGACCAAAGGACATCACCCGGTACTCGAACTGTCCCAGTGGAGTGTTAAACGCAGTCTTATACTCATCCCCCTCCTTAATCCTCACCCTGAAATACACATCCCGGAGATCAAGCTTGGAAAAGATTCTCCCCTTGGTCGCCTCAGCCAAGAGGTCCTTGATGAGGGGGAGGGGCGTTCGTAGTAGAGACCGCATTCAAGTCTATATAGTCGGTGCAGAGTCTCAGCCCCCCAGCCTTTTTCTTCCTGAAAAGTACAGGGGCCGCAAAAAGGGATGATGCAGGGCGAATGAAACCCCGAGCCAAATTCTTGTCAATAAACTTTAGCAACTCCTCCTTCTAACTAGGGCTCATCGCATACATTTTCCCTTTAGGCAACTTGTGCCCAGGGATCAGTTCTATAGCAATCCATGTGCCGGTGGGGTGGCAATTCATCAGCTTCTTCCTCCTCAAAAACCCTAGCCAAGTCTCGATACTCTGGGGGAATGGTATCGAACTCCTCCCTGGCTAGGCACACTCGTACCAGGTCGTGGTTGTGTAGCCACGGGCTGCCCAGCACAAGGGGGAATCGCGCTGCTTGGGTGATGACAAATGGTCGGTGTTCCCAATGGCCTCCCGCCCCAACCCGT